TCATTTATTCCTTCAACACAATACACACTGAGCACCTGTTCTGCAGTAGGCTCTGTGCCAGACATGGTTTCCTCACCAGAAACACTTTTCAGTCTAATAAGCAATTACAGCATGACTCCAAAGTTTTGTGGCAGTCCAGGGAAGGAGCAGCTACCTCAGTCAAAAGACAGGCTGAGGGTAAAATTTGGCTACATATCCTGAAGAAGGTGATATTTGAGCTGGGTTTTGAAGGAAAAAGAACTACTTAGGCATAAGTGGAAAAAGGAACAGCATTTGCCAACACTCAGAAGCATGGAATAGCATAATGATTCTGGAAACTGTAGGTGGTCCCTCAGGGCTGGGCGCAAGAGCATAATTTGACATTTATGGGAGCAATATGAAGCCAAGCTACTGAATTTGAAACTTTGTTCTATCACTTACTACTTGTGTAAGCTTAGGCACATTATACCCTGCACCTCAGTCTCCTCACCTGTAAAATGGGGATAAGGTTGTGAAATGTCTCATAAGGTTGTGAGAATTCAATGAGTTAATACAAATCATAGTACTTAGAACAGTGTCTGGCACAAAGTGAGTGATCAAGAAACTACTGTGTTGAGGCACATTAAGAGATGTACTTAGAGAGATAAGATGGGGATAGAACATTAAAGGTCTTCTTTGCTAAGCTAAGAGTTTTCCTTTTATCTGGAACGCAGTGGGGAGCCACTAAAGAATTTGAACCACAGAAGTAAAATGTCAGCTTTTAAACGGCTGCATAGTACTCCACTGTATGCTTTGCCATAATTTTTAAGTCAGTTATCTAATGATGGATATTTAGTTTTTTCCAGTGTTTTGCTGTAATAAACAAGATTGTCATTATTTGTCAGTTTTATAAACTATTAAGTTCTACATAATAATTTGTTTTGAAAATAAAAGTTTTTCTGCTAAAAACTAAAACAAAGTAAAATATCAGATTTGCATTTTATATTACTCTCTTGGAAAACTGCATGCAAGATAGATTTTATAAGGGTGAGGATAGAGGGAAGAAGTGATAAATTTGTAGTTTGGAATAATAAGGATTAAGACAAAGATAGAAAGAATTCTAGTAAGAAAGTCGAACATAAAGGAGTTTGAGAATAGTTAGATGATGGGGTGGGTGACAGGAAGAAATCTGCAATAACTCCAGATTTGTGGCAGAAGGAAAACGAGGCAATCCACTTTTGTAAAGATTTACTGCCTCAGAAACCCAACAGGGATCACTATGGTTAAGAATCAACTTGATGACAGTGATTTTTTTTTAAGCAAGTTACAGTCATAGATTTAACAAGTCAATGAATCTATAAATGTAAGTTGGAATCATGGCTTTAGAAGAATTTTACTGAAGAATGATACATAGAATGAGAGAAACAGTGGGCAGAAAGCACAGATAACACTGTAATCTAAAACAAAATTCTCAAGAACTGTATACCCATGAATCACCTTGGGATTTTGTTAAAGTGCAATTTCTGTTTCAGAAGAGTTTGGGGTTCTGCATTTGTAATAAGCAACCAGGTAATATCAATGCTGCTGGTCTAAGGACCATACTTAGAATAGAAACTGTAAAGAAAGCAAATGATGGAAGAGAAACTTGTAAAAGAGTCTCAATCCAAACAGAGAACAAACCCAGCAGCAAATTGAACAGAAAATATTTAACATAAAGAATTATTAATTACAACAGGGGCATGGAATAATAAGGGATTGACTGCTGTTGTTGTTGTTAGGTGCTATTAGGTTGATTTAGAGTCTTAGGGGACCCCCTGTGACAGAGTAGAACTACCCCACAGAGTTTTCTTGGCTGTGGTCTCTACAGGGCCCGGGTGGCACGGTGAGTGGTTAAATACTTGGCTACTATCCAAAGGTGGGAGGTTGGAACCCACCAAGCCACTGTGAGGGAGAAAGATACGGCAGTCTGCATCCGTAAAGGTTACATACAGCCTTGGAAACCCGATGGAGCAGTGAGTCAGAAAGGCAGATCATCAGGTCCTTCTCTCACAGAACTAGTTGTTGTTGTTATGTGCCATCGAGTCGGCCCCGACTCATAGCGACCCCTCCTTGGGTTGCCAAGGCAGAATCACTACGGAAGTAGACTGCCCCATCTTCCTTCCGAGGAGTGGCTCATGGGTTTGAACCGCCAGCCTTCTGGTTAGCAGTCAAGTGCCTTAGGCACTATGCTACCTGAGCTCTAGTAGGTGGCTTCAAACCTTCTACCTTTGGGTTAAAAGCACAGCACTTACCTGTTGTACCACCAGGGTTCTTTAAGGGGTTGACCAGTAACAAGTAAAACGAAGAGGGCAGAACAAGATGTAGAAGTGTTAATTACTTCCCCAGCAATTAATCCACTGAACAACGAATAAAAACAATTAGTGTAGAACCTAACTTGCTGTGTAAAGTTTCACCATAAACTCATTAAAGTATTATTAAAAAGTAAAAAGAACTCTAAAGAATATAGGAGTAGCCACTACAACTAGGTCTGAGAGATACAACTAGGTCTGAGAGAAGAGCCCCCAATCCCCACCCCCTGCTGTCCCATGGAGTCCAGCCTTTGTGGAATGGGACAGGGAAGTGATACCGTGCTAATGGAACTTGCTGGAAACTCACCATCTAGGAAGTATTTCATCAGAGGCCCCCTACTGTAAGACTACTCCAGAGGGTTCCAGGGGAAGCTGCTCAGCCATTAGTGCTCCTGGCCTTCATGCACTGTAGAGGCTGGGCCCTGCAGAACCTATCCATTCTACAGGAGCCTGGTGAGAAAGTGCAACGGGAACTAGGAAGCAAACCCCCTTCCCTCCCACAATGTCTCTCCAGTGCCCTCCACCGACAAAGTTTAGCATCATGCCAGCTGGCAAAGGAAAATTGAGCACAGATCCATTTTCAGAGTGGACAGAAAGGATGAATTTTGAGCTGAGAGATAATAAACTGATAACCAGCATAAAGATAAAGCACAAGTGGTTGGCAGGGAGTTCATTTGGTTTGAAAAGATCCTGCCTCTCTTTATATCTTATTATCTACCTCATCGGCTACAATAGTTATAATATTGACTATTGTTACAATAGTCAAGCAAGTGTCCATTAGGTCTAACAACTAGTGGTAGGGTATTCAAGCCCACAAACCAAAACTGGTAGGGTATTCAGGCCCATGGCATGTCATACATTGGAGGGCAGTTGGGAACAGAAGCCAGAATGCAGTGGTTGAGGAGTGAGTGGGAGGTGAAAACATGCAAAGGGGAGCCAAAAGGCTGTAAAAGAAAACTTGGAAACTAGAAAGCGGAATGGAATTAAAGAACATTTATTTTCTCTAACGGCAGAGGCTTGAACTTATTCATATGCTGAGGGGAACAAGGGAAGAATGCGATTATATTCTGAGGATAAAAAAGTATATAATCTAACACACAGGCAGAAGAGAGAGAAGTGACATCTTTCACTGGGAAATGAAGGAAGAAAGAAAAGATGAGCACAGTGGAGGGCGGGAAGGATTTCTTGTCTGTGGCTGTGACTTTTACAGTGAGTGTCTCTGCAGAGAGCACACGATGTCTGGCATCTTCACCTCAGCTCTCCTGTCTGTCCCACTCCCCTGTTATTCGGATCACTAAGCCTTATAAGGTAGTTTAGCTGTATTGGTTTCACCCCTACTAGTCTAGCAGTACATTTCCCAGAATCCGAGTTATTATGTCTCAAAAAATGTATATCAGTGTTGCTTCCTTTTACCATCGTCCTACTCCCACCTTACCCTCACCAACAGTGCCTCTTAAGAATCTACAATAAGAAGTGAACTCATTACTGAATCTCATACCCTTTGATATCTGCTCCTTTAATTACATGAAGATCTGGCCGAGACTTTGAAATTACTGCTATAAGAGCCAAATTAAATGTTTAGCCTCTTCCCATCTTTCTTCTGTTCCTCATTCACCTACTCAGCAAGTGGTGTTGAAGCATCTCCTGTGTGCCTGCAGTAGTTCTGTGCTTGAAGCTCCAGCAAATGCACCAGAAGTATGCTCTAAGTTCACTCTCCTGAACTTACATTCTGAAAGGAAAGTAAGATAATCATCCACAACACTGAGGACAAGGCCAGACAGTGGGCACCGCAGTCAGTATACAGGTGCTTAGGAAGGGAGCAGTATCTTCAGTTTGTCATTTGTGGCCCAGGAAGACCAGTAGTCTTTCTTAGAACTTCCATCTGTCCTTGTCACAGTGCCACAAAAGTGAAGCCACCTTTCCTGGCTGGTTACTCTCTTCTTCTTGTTTCACCTTGAACTCATCCCTCTTCCCCTCTTATATAATACCTACTTTTCTTCCTAATCTTTCAGTCAGTACTCAAATACCTGGGACATCACAGATAAACAAGTCTCTTGTAAGTTTACATTTCATACATGAGGCCAAGAGCTCCCTGGGGATAAAGAATTCATCTTTTAGCTCCCACAATACCTGGCTGTTTATGCCTCAAAGGAATAGCTATATACACATGAGCAGGTGGATTTTTGTAACAGACCTCTCAGGACCTAAAATAGAAATAGGCTTTCGTCCATTGACCACTTTCTTCTAGCCATTTTGTTTTCATCCTCACTCCTGGGGCAGGCCCAGGGCCAAAACTAATGGATGAGGATGGAAATATCAGCACCTTCAACATCTCGCACACCAGCTTCTTCCTGATGGGCTTCCCTGGGTTGAAAGAGTGGCGGCCCCTCCTGGTCTTGCCTCTTACGTTCCTCTATGTGTTCATCATCTCTGCCAATGCCTTGGTCATCCACACAGTGGTGACCCAGCGAAGCCTGCACCAGCCCATGTATGTGCTCATCACCCTGCTCCTGGCTGTCAACATTTGTGCTGCCACCACTGTAATGCCCAAAATGCTGGAAGGGTTTGTGCATTATGCCAACCCAATCTCACTGCATGGCTGCCTGACCCAAATGTTCTTTATCTACTTCACCCTCCTTCTGGACTACAACCTCCTGTTGGCCATGGCCCTGGACCGCTACATGGCCATCTGCCACCCACTCCGCTACAGTGACCTGATGACCTCCCGCCTGCTGGGCCTGCTGGCCATTCTTGCCCTGACAAGGAGCCTGGGAGTGGCAGTGCCCTTGGTGGTGCTCACCTCACAAGCTCAATTCTGTTGGACAGCAGTGATCCGACACTTCACCTGTGAATACATTGCACTGCTAAGTATAGCTTGTGGAGATCTGACCTTCAACAACAGGTTGGGGCTGGCTATGCGGTTGGTCACTGTGACCTTTGATCTGGCCCTACTGGGCGCCTCCTACACCCATATCATCTATGCTGCCTTCCGGATCTCTTCTGGGGGAGCTCGAGCAAAAGCCTTGCATACATGTGGCTCCCACCTGCTTGTCATCCTCACCATCTACCTCTCTGGTCTTTCCACTTCCATTGTCTTCCGAGTGGCCAAGACTGTGTCTCAGGATGTCCAGAACCTGCTCAGTGCCATCTACCTGCTGCTTCCAGGAGCCTTGAATCCTGTCATTTATGGGGTGAGGACAAAAGAGATTCGGCAACATGTAGAAAAGATGCTCTGTGGAAAGGAATCAGCCTAAGAGGTTGGGGGAAAGTCAGAGGCTGCAGAACATGAAAGTGAAGGAAAACTGTGAGATGAGAGGACTTTATCAACTTGGGAAGCTCTGGGTACAGGAAATATGTAGATGGTACTAAGGATAGGCTGAAATTTCTTGAGTAGATTATTATAGACTCTATAGCAGACCCATTGTTGGTCAGCTATTGCTTGCTGAATTCTTAGAGCAATCTTTGTTTTCATCGCAATAATAAAACTGCTTTTATGTATATGTCCGTCTTAGTTTGTTTTCTTCCCCCTAACTCCTGAAAAAGCTCTAATTATTATCCAGATGTATGAAGCTTCACTGGGAGTTGTATATAGCAAGTCATACAGACCACAACCTAGCCTGCACACCCAGTATGAAGCAAATCCATACTCCAGGCCCTTCCCTGGGGCTGAATCTCTCCCAAATACAGAATAAGACTTTACATAAATCCCCAAACCAAAAAACCCAACCCGTTGCCATTGAGTCAATTCCAATTCATAGTAACCCTATAGGACAGAGTAGAACTACCCTATAGGGTTTCAAGTCTATAAATCTTTGCAGAAGCAGACTGTCTCATCTTTCTCCTGCAGAGTAGCTGATGGATATGAATTGCCAAACTTTTGATTGGCAATCAAATGCTTTAACCACTATGTCACCAGGGCTCCACATGAATCCCCAATCTCACCAAATATACTGGCCTTGAGAACATTAGAATTTAGGCACACAGATTGGATTCTAGGGTTCTAGACAGAGATAAGCCCTGGTCTGAGGCTGCTATCTGGCACAGGTAAAGAGGTCAGGCCTACCTGAGGCATCCAGTCTAGGCCACACAACCAAGGCAGGTCCTGCACTAGGGCCTCTACTTTGACTCAGACACATAGACAATGTCTTCTCTGGAGCCCAAGACTGACCCAAAGACCAGACTATGTCCTGATCTGAGACATTGCTGTTGTTGTTGTTGTTTGCCATCGAGTCGGCCCCGACTCATAGCAACCCCTCCTTGGGTTTCCGAGGCAGTATCACTACGGAAGTAGGAATGCCCAACCTTCCTTCTGAGGAGTGGCTAGTGGGTTTGAACCGCCAGCCTTCTGGTTAGCAGTCAAGTGCCTTAGACACTATGCTACCTGAGACATTAGTCTAACTAAAACCCACAGGTCAGGCCATTCTTCCCACTTAGCCTGTGTGATCTATCTATAATGTAATCAGTTATCTCCTGCTTAAATACCTTCCACAGTTCCGCCATCCAGAATGTAGTTCAAGTTCTTAAATATATCACACAAGCCTCCCTATGTGACCACAACCAATCTCTTCAGTTTTATCATCTACTGAAAGTCAGTAACAGAAATAAAATGGGAAAATTCCCAAATATATAGAAATTAAACAACACAGGGTTAAACAACCAATGGACCAAAGAACTCACAAGGAAAATCATAAAATACTTAAAGAGACTAATGAAAATGAAAGTTCAACAGACCAAAACGTACGAGGTGCAGTGAAGTTAGTGCTAAGAGGAAAATTCTAGATGTGAATGACTACATTTAGAAGGAAAAAAAACATATCAGTAACCTAACTTTACACCTTGAGAAACTAGAAACGAGGAGAAAATTAAGCCTAAAACTACCAAAAGAAAGGTATAAGGATTAGAATGAAGATACATAAAAGGATAGAAAAACAAGACTCAATTTAAAAACTTGGTTCTTTGAAAAAGAGCAGTAAAATCAATAAACATTTGGCTACAGTAAAAAACAAACAAACAAAAAAAACACCTAAATACACAAATAACTAAAATTAGAAATGAAAGTGGGACATTACTACTGACTCGATAGAAATGAAAAGCATTACAGAGAATACTATGAACAATTCTGTCATTCATCTGTCAGTTTGTTGTACTGTGGTGGTTTGTGTGTTGTTGTGAAGCTTGAGGCATTACCACCACTATTTCAAATACCAGCAGGGTCACCCATAGTGGACAGGTTTCAGTGGAGCTTCCAGACTAATAAGACAGGGAAGAAGGATGGAGCCATCCACTTCTGAAGAAATTGGCCAGTAAAACAACGTCTGCTATTTTACTGGAAAACTTTATGAATATCCATGAAAAATGTTGATATAGGACCAGAAATTGAGTCCCACAGATTGGAAGGCGCTCAAAATACAACTGGGAAGGTACTGCCTCCTCAAAGTACAGTTGACCTTAATGACATGGAAGGAGTAAAACTCTCAAGACTCACTTACTGATGAGGCACAACTCAAAAGTGGAAGAAACAGCTGCAAACATCCATTAATAATCAGAATGTAGAATGTATGAAGAATGAGTCTAGGAAAATTGGAACTTGTCAAAAATGAAATGAAACAATAAAGACCAACTTCTTAGGCATTAGTGAGCTGAAATGGCTTGATATTGAAATCAATCATATGGTCTACTATGCCAAGAATGACAAATTGAAGAGGAACAATGTGGCCATCACAAAGAATGTTTCAAGATCTATCCTGAAGTACAATGCTGTCAGTGATAGGATAACATCCATAAGTTTACAAGGAAGACCAGTTAATACTACTATTATTCAAATTTATGCACCAACCACCAAAGCCAAACACGAGGAAATTGAAGATTTTACTACCTTCTGCAGTCTGAAATTGACCAACCATGTAATCAAAATGTATTATTACTGGTGATTGGAATGGAAAAGTTAGAATCAAAGAAGAATCACCAGTAGTTGGAAAATATAGCCTTGGTGATAGAAATGATACTGGAGATAGAATGATAGAGTTTTAGAGATAGACCAACAACTGATTCATTGCAAATACCATTTTCAACAATATAAATGGCAGTTACACACATGGCCTTCACTAGATGGAATACACAGGAATCAGATCAACTATATCTGTGGAAAGAGGTGATGGAGTAGCTCAATATCTTCAGCCAAAACAAGGTCAGGTGACTGGAAGAGATCATCAATTGTGCATATGCAAGTTCAAGTTGAAGCTGAAGACATTAAAACAAGTCCATGAGAGCCAAAATATGACCTTGATTATATCCCACCTGAATTTAGAGACTCATTGAACACCAATGACTGAAAACCAGATGAATTGTGGGATGACATCAAGAACATTATCCATGAAGAAAGCAAAAGGTCATTAAAAAGACAGTAAAGGAAGAAAAGACTAAAATGGATTTCAAAAGAGACTCTGAAACTTGCTCTTGAATGGAGTAGGTTAAGCAAATGGAAGAGATGACAAGATAAAAGAGCTGAACAGAAAATTTCAAAGAGCAGCATGAGAAGACAAACTCATAATGTGCAAAGACCAGGAGTTAGAAAACCAAAAGGGAAGAATACACTTGGCATTTCTCAAGTTGAAAGAACTGGGGAAAAAAAATTAAACCTCAAGTTGCAATATTGAAAGATTCTATGGATCTTATGATGTTTCAACAAAATAGAAGCTCTGGTAGCATAGTGCCTAAGGCAGTTGACTGCTAACCAGAAGGCTGGTGGTTCAAACCCACCAGCCACTCCTCAGAAGGAAGGTTGGGTAATCTACTTCTATAGTGATACTGCCTCAGAAACCCAAGGAGGGGTCGCTATGAGTTGGCTCCAACTTGAGGGCACATAACAACAACAACAGCACAGGCAAAATATTGAATGATGCCAGAAGGAATACACAGAATCACTGTACCAAAAAGAATTAGTTGATGTTTATCCTTTCAGGAGGTGGCATATGACCAAGAACCGATGGTACTGAAGGAAGAAATCAAAGATGCACTAAATAAACCTCCAGAAATTGATGGAATATCCATTTAGATGTTTCAACAAATGGATGCAGTGCTGGAGATACTTATTTATGCCAAGAAATTTGCATCAGTCACCTAGCCAACTGACTAGAAGAGATCTATATTTATGCCCATTCCAAATAAAGGTGATCCCACAGAATATGGAAATTATCAGACAATATCATGAATATCACACATAAGTTAAACTTTACTGAAAAAATAATTCAAAAACAGTTAAAGTAGTATTTCGAGACAGGGAACTTCCAGAAATTCAAGCTGGATTCAGAAAAGGACTGGAATAAGGGATATCATTGCTGATGTCAGATGGAGCTTGGCTGAAATGGTTGAAATTGATGAAATATGAGAGCATATACATTCAGGAAGTGCAATAAAGCCCAAACAGGATAGACTACCAAAGAAAACCACCAAGAGATAACATAATCAAACTTACCAAACCCACAGACAAAGAAAGGATCCTGAAAGCAGCACAGGAAAAACAAAAAGTTACCTATATAGAGCAACCAAAAAGATTAAGCTCTGTTTTCCCACCAGAAACCATGCAGGCAAGAAGGCAACAGGGTGATATATATAAAACCCTGAAAGAAACCAATTGCCAACCAAAACTTAGATACCCAGCAAAACTGTCCCTCAAATATGATGGCAAATTTAGGACATTTCCAGATAAACCAAAATTAAGAGAATTTGTTAAAACTTGGCCAACCTCACATGCTAAAAGGAATCCCCAGGACAGAGAACAAACAACAGCAGACAAAAATTGATGACTAACACACATGACAACATAACCTAGAAACCAACACAGACATAGAAGCATCCAAAGTCAAATAAACTTGTAAGACTGTAAACAGGAAACCAGAGACATCAATTGGTAACTGAGTACAACTATAAAGCAAAAAGAGGAAATAGTGTAGATACAGTATAGGCACAGAACTTCCAAATGGAGAAGCCAAGATGATTTTAAGATAGAACATACTGTTCTAAACTTGGGAAGGGAATTATAAATCACAGAAAAACCTCAAAGAAAAATAATAAATCTTCACATCAAAATAGAGGACTTGCACAAATATTTAGCAAATACTAAAATAGCATTGAAGGACATGACAACATTATTCATAAACAGAATGAGCTCAGCAGAGACAATTATATAGAAGAAAAAAAGAAGCAACACCATGAAAAAACACATAACAAAATGACAGCAACAAATTCATACCTG